CTCTCCCCACCATATATAGTAGAATCATACTTCATCAGTATGATTCTACTCTACAGCAATGTGGGCTTCTACACGTTTTGACAGAAAATCTGGATTTTTAAAAAAAGCAGAAATATTTGTTGGGAAACTACAGATAACATTCTGGCCAGTTCTGGTTTCACCTGGAGTGGCTGATGCAGCCCTATGGAGGTCCTAGGAAATGGGAAAGGGCTCTGAGAGCTTGCCCACGCTTGCATACTGGAGTCCTAACAGCTAACTTACTCATGATGCAACAGCATGTAGATTGTCTTGTGGAAAAGCTTATGCAAAAACTAGCAAAGTCTCTGGAGAAAGATTTCTCAAAAGTTCTTACCCAACAATTTGGGCATCCAATTGCATAAATGGAATCAAGTTTACCATGTATATGAAGATTAGTGAGCACCTCAAGTTTTGCACTAGCCAAAGTATACATTGGTTAAGAAGGTGTTCTTCCATAGCATGGTCATTCTGAAGTTCTCAAACCTTAAAGGTACCAGTCAACTCAACTGTAAGTGTGACAGAAATTCCAGCTGTTTTTTAGGGAGGGATCAGGTTCAGCAGTAGCATAAATGTTTTGTATGCAAGGCTAGTTTGTGAGGTAGGCTATTGTCCTAATCAGGAGATGGTTGATTACAGTGGGGTCTCGACTTACGAACTTAATCCGTATTGGAAGGCAGTTCTCAGGTCGAAAAGTTCTTAAGTCGAATCTTCATTTCCCATAGGAATGCATTGAAAACCATTTAATCCGTATCTGCTCTTTTCGTCCATAGAAACTAATGGGAAGCTGCTATTCCGCCTTCTGCCACTACAGGGGGATTTTTTTTCTTTTTTCCTTTTAACCTAAGATTACTTAGCTTTTTAAAAAAAGAAAAAAAAGAGTTCGTAACTCGAATCTAAGTTTGCAAGTCGAGTCCATATATTCCTATGAGAGCAGTTCGTAAGTCGAAACGTTCGTATGTTAATTTTTAGAGGTACACCTAGACTAAAATCCTGTTGCTTTGCATAGTAATTTAAAGTAAGCCCACTGAATCAGTGAGAAGGAGTTTACTCATCAACTCTTTACAAGTTAATTTGATTCAAATAAGCCTCTCTAGTTCTGAGTTACTATGCTAAATTAAGGCACTACTGAAGTAGGCCCATTTGAATTAATGGAACTTAGAGGAGTTGACTCACCAAATCCCTACTAATTCAGTGGGCCCACTCTAATGCAACTTACTACGCTAAGCAACAGGATTTCAGCCATTAAATTATGTATGTGCACTCTTAAAAATTCTTGGAATTCCAGAGCCAAATAAAGTTTTCTCTTTAACCTCCCCCCATCATATATAGTACCATTTTCTCTAAACTCTCCCCACCATATATAGTAGAATCATACTTCATCAGTATGATTCTACTCTACAGCAATGTGGGCTTCTACACGTTTTGACAGAAAATCTGGATTTTTAAAAAAAGCAGAAATATTTGTTGGGAAACTACAGATAACATTCTGGCCAGTTCTGGTTTCACCTGGAGTGGCTGATGCAGCCCTATGGAGGTCAAGTCATGGGAAGGACCCTTCCTAATGGGGGATCTGTCTATGATGGTATCATAGACAGTGCCACCATGTCAATGGACAATTTTCAAAATAGACAATACTGGTCAACAGAAGTTAATCAGTAGTGTAGTTTGACATAGGAAACTGTCCCTATGTCTTTTTCAGTCTTATCACCTGAAGTCTGAACTTGAGGTCATTAACTATCCTGTCTATTCAGATATTCTCAGCTTTGTGTCCTGTTTTCAAAAATCATTACTCTCTCCTGAAGCAGAAATATTGTTGTCACACTAAATCCTTTTGTTTGTTCTTGTTGTTTCCAGGCCTCAAGATATCAAAGGTGACCATCTAGAGGATTTTGTCAGTGTTCTAACCAAGCTAATGGAACTGTAAATACCATATTTTTCCATGTATACAACCCTCCAATGTGTAAAACGACCCCCTAATTTTGACTCTTGATAGAGGCGGAGGAGCAAATAATGGGCAACTGCTCCTCCACCTCCGTCTCTTGATGCTATCTCTGCTGCCTGCCCAATCACCTCCTCCAGTGCGACTGCTGGGGCTCACCTCCAGCTCACCTCAGCGCCTCGTCCCCTGCTCTAAGGAGATGATCACTGGAGGTGATCTGGCGGCAGCAGCAGGAAGAGGCACCTCAGCGTGCGCGAGTGCTTGTTTGTCTCCGCCTCTGCCTCCACCACTGGAGGGGACAAGGCAGTGATGTGAGCTGGGCCCATCAGTCCCATTGGAGGTGGTGATCGGGCGGGAGAGGCAACAGCAAGAGGCACCCAAGCACGCATGCGACTGCTTCCTTCTGTGTATAAAACGACACTCAATTTTTCCTCGAATTATTTTAGGAAAAAGTGTCATTTTATACACGGAAAAATATATTAAGGATAATCCCATCCCATTCTGGTCAATGCTATCCTCCAAGTGTCTTTGCAAGGATTTTTCCTGCTCCTGAAGTAACTGGGAGAAAGAAATAACACCTTACAACAGTGGTCCCCAACCTTGGGCCTCCAGATGTTCTTAGACTTCAATTCCCAGAAATCCTGGCCAGCAGAGGTGGTAGTGAAGGCTTCTGGGAGTTGTAGTGCAAGACCATCTGGAGGCCCAAGGTTGGGGACCACTGCCTTACAACATCCACTGATACTCTCTGGAACACAGTGTGCTACTATGGATGAATGCCAGAAAGAGAAAATATACAGAAACACAAGTTTTGTTCTCTGTACTGCCAATAGCTAGATCACACAAACTGCTGAACGTGTTGCCTCATCTAAGTTTATAAATAAATAACTATGATATACAGCAAATTGTATGTATCCAAACTCTTTCTCCCCATGCTGATCCCCAGTGAGAGCTACTGCACAGAACAAATGAGACGTGTAATCAACTGGAAAATGAGCGAAAAGCTATCACTGCTGAAACTGCCTGAGTGGGAGCTTCTCCTGGTGAATTAATTGGGAGGTGACCTTGGGATTTAATAGGAAGAATTTTACCAACATCTCATTTCAGGACCAAGGACAGTTATTGCTTGGCAATATGTGCTACGGGTGGAAATAAAGGGAATATCTATCAATGAAAACCTGGAAAACTTAGCAGAATGCCTGGCAGGAAGGAGGGGAGGATTAAGCTCCTTTTATGAATGATCCTGTACCTTCTCCTCACATATTGCTTGAGTATTTGTAGGTCTTTTTCTTCTGTGAACATACGTGCACACACTGACCAAGATATTGCCCTTGGGAGCTAAAAGATTGCGAACCTCTGACTCAAACCAAGGAACTGCTAGAAATTCACATNCATGAAGGCAATCCATTGGGGGGGGGGGGAGAATCTCACATTACTATTAATGCGACTGCCTAGAAAACCTAATAAGCAGGCTTTTATTTCCTCAAAGTGCACTGTAAATTACTTCTGAAAACTTACTTGTGTCCCTCCCTACAGAAATTATCCTGAGTGGCTTATCAAATAAGAATATGACCTTATGGAAACCCATGAGTCAGAAGCTAAGCTGTGCATGCTTACCCTGAAAAAAAAATACACAATGATTGTTCCTTTTGTCTCATCTTCTTTATTTCATAAAGAGGACAGTAAAAAAAAAAGTCAAAACAGTTTTGGAGCCCATCCACTTCTGAAATCCTTGGTGCTAGACAATGTGTTTATGCTATAACTCAAAGCTGATCTGAACACAAAAGGTGGGGAAATGCTTTCTTAAAAACAAGAACACAGCCATCTTTCCACGATTACAGATAATTATTTTTCATATTTCAGTTTCTGGCCCTTAAATTCCTCTTTGGCTCCTTTTTTGAGTTGCTCAGATTCTTCTCCATTTCTTCCTTTCTTCTCGCATTATCTTGTTCTGGAAGGACACAAAGAAATACTGTACCCTTAAAATTTAAATTTCAGGTGTCAAACAACAACTCTGTGTATGTTAATAGATGTCCCTTTTTGGTTATGCTCAAATCATAACATTACATCTGATTTAGGATGAAATAAAACTTTGAAGAAAGTTAAGAATCTGCACTTAACATGGTATTCCTAGTGAAAACTCTAGGTATTTGCATTCATTCAAAGTAAAACGTAATGGCTAGAATATTATGTGCAAATACAATAAATAGTAACCATAGAGTGTATCTAGTCTGCAGACAAATTCTCAGCAACAGCGCCAACAATCTCTGGCTTGCAGTTATACATATGGGAGTTAATCCTCTTAAAAACAACAGAGCCTATACTAGTGGTGGCGAACCTTTTTGGGTTTGGGTGCCCAATCTGGGGGGGGGGGAACAACGGCAGTGGAACCGGAAGTGGTGGCGGAAGGTGCCACGAGCCCCCACTCCGGATCCGCTGCCAGCACCAGCTGCTCCGGATCCTGACCCGCTGCCTGTCTGGCACCAGAACTGCGGTTGCAGCCGCCTGCTCAGTTTTTTTTAGGGGGGGAGGGAGTAGCGATCTGGTGACTTATGGCTTGCGTGTTGACAGAAAGGGCTCTGCGTGCCAGCTGTGGCACGCGTACCATAGGTTCTCCATCGCTGGCCTATACATACAAATAGGGGGAGCAGATACCCCTTTGTGAAACTGGAACAAAAAGGCAACTGTGTATGAAATGAGTTCTTACACAGGCAGGAAAAAACCCAGAGATCCAGCTGAACAAGCACTGGACTGTGGCTTAAAAGTTGTAATCAAAACTTACTAAGAATTTATTCAGCTCACCAGCTAGATATAAAGAGACAGACAGAGGCAAAATTTAAAATGCACTCCCATTCCACCATGAACTAAACATGATCAAAGTGTCGACAGCAACAGTGTGAACATAGTAAGGACATCTAGGGGGGATGGTGATTTTGTGAAGAGGAGAGCCTTACCCATCTGTGGAGACGTTTCATACGATTTTCAGTCCTCAGTCTCCACAGCTGTTAATTCACATAACCCTTCACAGACAGGAAGTGCTCCTCTTTAGAAAGCTCCCCTCCATGTGTAGTGGATAATGGAAACACTAATGGAGTGGGTGTGGCTTCCCTTACTAAATCCACATTATGCACACAGAGTAAGGTAAAGGTAAAGGTTCCCTTTGACAATTGTCCAGTCGTGTCCGACCCTAGGGGGTGGTGCTCATCCCCGTTTCCAAGCTATGGAGCCAGTATTTATCCGTAGACAGTTTCTGTGGTCATGTGGCCACTGCGACTAGACACGGAACTCCGTTACCTCCCTACCATAGTGGTACCTATTTATCTACTCGTATTTTTACATGCTTTTGAGCTGCTAGGTTGACAGGAGCTGGAACAAGCAATGGGAGCTCATTCTGTTGCATGGATTCGAATTGCTGATCTTTTGACCTTGCAGCCCAGAGGCTTTGTGGTTTACCATGCAGCGCCACCATGTCCTGTAGAGTAGGGTGTATTTAATGTCCTTTATGACTTCTATTTATGCTGGACATTACACAACTTGGGGGAAGGGGGAGACCAAATATTACTCCAGTCTGATGTTATAGCCACTGGATATCAAGTAAGACTGAAATCTCAAGATAAAAGTTATAGGTTTCAAGAATCAGCTTGAAGATGCAGAATCATCTGCATTCCTCCATCTTTATAGAGAAAGGATTGCCAGGCGCACAGTGCAGGAAGCAGTTAACTTTACCACACTGGGATAACCCATACTGGGTAGATTTATCTATTCCCATGGCAAAGGAAGGATATTGCTTCATTATATTCAATAGAACAACTCCACACTCAACAATTCTAAAGCAGTTAAGAGCTCAAAGTGATTCACATACATACAAGGCTCTTTCAATGGCTATTATAAGTCACAGAACAGTATTTGCCCCCTCCCCCGTTGCATCAACCAGGGGAAGGGAATCCCTGCCAGACCTGCCCCAAGGAAGGTTTTGTATGTAACAGGAACTCTAGTTTACAGACTGGAACAGAAATACCAGTTTGTAGACTGGAAAGGTTATGCATGAATCAAGAGCTCAGATTTACAGACTAAACAGAGTTTGCATGGAATGGGGAATGCAGCCACAGAAGTACAATGGCACCCCACTTGACGCTGAAATTGCTTTACGTTTTTGTGATCGCTACTGCAATCGCAAAGCAATGTTTCAAAGGGCGATTTTCGTTTTATGACGATCGGTTCCCTTCTTTGGGAATCGATTCTTTACATTATGACGATCTAAAAACAGCTGATTGTTGGGTTTCAAAATGGCCACCTGCTGTGCAAAATGGTTCTCCGCTGTTTTTAGGACTGATTTTTCGCTATACAGGCACCGGAAAATGGCCTCCCTATGGAGGATCTTCGCTGGACGATGAGGTATTTCACCCATTGGAACACATTAACTGGTTTTAATACTTTTCAATGTTTTTTTTTTCCCTACTTGATGACGATTTCGCTCTACAGCAATTTCGCTGGAACGGATTGTCGTCGTCAAACGGGGCACCACTGTAGTTGCACTGGGCTTACACATGAGAAGACATAAGAGAACAGAGCTGTGCTTTGCATATTCAAAAACTGTTGCACTTGGATGAATTTGTAAGATTTCATAATGTGTTTGTAGTTATTTATGACTGATTATGTGGCTAGCCACTGACTATGCCACTAACAAATCAGGTCAGTTAGCAGCTATTTGCAAATGAAATAGATATGCATTTTTGAAGTCTTCAAGTCAGAACCTTTTGAAACACACACTCTTCGAGCACCTTTATCCCCTCTGTGTACACTTTTGGAGAGTATGAGGAAAAGTCAAGAATTTCCACAACTTAGACTGCACCAATGTTAATATGTACAGGACAGTATAATATTCCATATATCTATGGCATAATAACACACGCAAAACATCTGAATATGCAATATTGAGTTTGGCATTCTTCAAAGGCAGTCCTACCACTGTGAAGAGGAAGGTAATCAGCTCAGGTGGAAGATACGAGCCATGGGGAGAATGGCTGATCCAGCAAATCTACGGAAACGTATGACAGGCTTTTCTGTGGTCAAGCTTTCATCGACTAGGTGTATAATGTTTTCTGCCTCTTCAACCGTTAGAATTTTTTTATTGCCTTACAATTTCTCCCTCATCCACTTCCTTCCAAAACTGTATATTCTTTCCATTTAATTTAGTTAAAGAGACTCTTGATTTGCTAAGTGAGATGTCTGAATATTTCAGAACCTAGCTGTCAAGGGACATATACAGAATAATGGCTAAATATGTTTATCTGGTTCTTTCAGCTTTTTTTCTTGAATCAAAAAGAGCCACTGGATAAAATGTGAGAAATGAGAATGATAACAAACCCGGCAGGCAGTCCACTTCATAGAACAGATCAGAACAGAGATGGACAATTCTGAGTTTGCAACAGCATGAATGTGGTTAATCTAGAAACAATCTCACCGGAAGCTCAACATCTTAGGCCTCCTTGGAAAACAATTTAGAGAAAGGGGGGATGTAATCCAATTAACCAAATTATCAAAACTACAGGTTTTGAATGCTAAATAAGCATTATGTTGACTGTTCTGCACAAATTAAGAAAAGAAGAGGTGGAAAACAACATAGGATATTGGACAGGGGCTGTAGAAGAATCCTTTCTGAATTGTTTTGGGTCTGCAAACGTCAGGATTTCACCTTTCCTCTTATTTAGAAGTGGTGCTGTTTTGGCAGTATACAGACAGGCACCTGAAAATAGCTATAGATAAATCAGTAATCAGAATCAATAGCACAGGAGTTCACCTCAAGGGAAGCCTGAACTACTAGTATAGCTGTTTTTGTTCCGCAGACTTCATCTAAATTGCACTCCTGGGCTACTGATTTAAACACTTAGCTTTGAACCAAGGTCAGACCAACAAGTAAACAAGCTTGCTAATCTTTGCTGGGTCCCCACTTCATCAGACCACTTGAGCTGCTCCACTGGTTTTCCTGAGATTCTTAGGCACTGAAATAGCAAGACCTGATACATCAAGACTGAAGAGTCAAGAGACCAACAGCAAGCCTCTCCACTGATACACAAAATATGTGCCTCTCTTTCACTCTCATGTCAAAGCATTATACAAGTACCGGGTGTGCTGGATCTTACTCCCATTTTGCTTTACTTTCTACTCTACTGCTCTAGTCCCTTTTCTTTTCAGTTCTACTTTCAAAACTGAATAGAGATAAGTGGCTAGAGCAGTGGTTCCCAACCTGAGGTCCCAGATGTTCTTGGACTAAAACTCTCCGAAGCCTTCATCACTAGCAGTACTGGTCATGATTTCTAGGTGTTGTAGTTCAAGAACATCCTGGGACCCAAGGGTGGGAACCAGTAGGCTAGAGCAACAGACTAAGAAGAAAGGTAAACGTGTGTCCCTACGTGCACCTGTAGTATGGCTCCTGGAATGCTCACTTCAGTGTTAGACAGATAGTCTACTTTTATATCCTTTGGATTGCTTTATATGTGAATAGGACAAGAATATGAAAAAAAATCATTCTATGTAGTTTGATTCTGAATTCCAGTCTCTTTTTATTACAGCGTAAGCTTCCTTTAGAGTTCATGTCATGCCTTGAAAACACAGGATGCAATAATAACTTTGCTGAAGCTCAGCAGGTCTGGAGAATGAGCAAGCCCACTAATGGCAAAAATGTGGGTTCATGATGACATTTAAAAAAATTCTTAGTTGGTTAACATCTTTAATAAGCAAGGATGTCTGGTATTTCTTAAAACAGTTCAGAGGCTGGGAACATAATGAAGGCATTCTGAATTGTAAGATGACAATAGGCAAATGCCTGTTCTTGCAGGTGTAACATAAAATAAAATAAAGTTAATATAAAAATAAATATAAATTGATATTAGAAATATAAATATAAAAATTAATAGAAAAATAAATAAAGTTATGCTGGTGTAAATGTACCACGTGTTACACTTGCAACAAGGAACTGCACTATGCAATTGTGCAATAGGTTGTATGTCCCCCACATGACCAACTCTGCAATACAATGGCAGAAGTTTTTTTGGGATTCCACTTCTGCCTCAGCACTAATGAAATTACCACAGGCACAACCTTCAGTTGCATGCACATAAGTGCCCAACAGTCCCTAACTAGTTGTAGTTCAAAGAATGCCAGAATCAAAGGTGGGCGAGGCAAGGTTGGAAGTGGCTTCAGCTAAGAATCCACTTGGTCCAGACAGAGATGAACATTAAAGCATGAAATGAAGCAGCCAGCAAACTTAGGAAAGGCAACATCCAAAAACCCTTACTTCTAGGAAGAGCTGGTCACTAGTAAAACCCCTTTTACCGCAGTGTTCTATACTTTGCCAACCTACTGCTCTGTTCTGCAGCGATCCTGCCAAAAGGAGAGAGGGATAAAGGTTCAGAGAGGACAGTAAGGCAGAAAGCAATATTGCTCCAGGAACCATTGATACACAGAGAAAGAAACATGAAAGCAGCAAAACCAGGCCTTCCAGAAACTCTGCTGAAATATGGGAGAGTATTGATTCTCCCACTCTTTCACAATTTCTTCAGAGAAAATTCATGCCACCATACAATGCTGGATTTAAAACCCATCAGCTTAAGTGGCACTGACATGTGCAAAGTTATTTTAGCAGCTCTTCTATTTACATAATACTTCAAAATAGAAATCTTGGCTGCTGCTAATTGAGCTATTCTAAGGATTGGCTTCTAAAATTTGATTTCAATGGACTGCTAACGTTAGCAAGAAGAATTTGATTACTAGAAGCCCTGGTAGCGCTGAATGAAAATTTAGGCTTTCATCTTATCTTACTGGCACCCCCGGCACTATGACTGGAAAGCCCACCTCTGCAATGCTTTTTGTTTAGTTTCTTCTGTCTCAGATGACTGTACTGATTGGCTTCTACTGCATGATGTCTTCATACCATCTACAATAACATTTAAGGGCTACGTGGCAAGGTGGATGGAATATGACAGCCTTTTGGGTGCTTCTAGCTAACTCCACATTACATATTGACATAGAAAGATGCCTTCATTCATTTCCTGTGTCTCCTTAATAAGAAACAAGGAGTGCTTACAAAGAAAAGACAGCAATTATAAGCTCACTTCTGCCATCTTTGCAAAAGCAGGAGCCCTCACACATGGGCATTAGCAGATCCTAATGTAAGAATGGGGAACATTCAGCCCTCCATCTGTTCTAATTACACCTCCCAAAATCTCTTAGCAGTGGTCTGCCAGCCTCAGGAAATCCGGGTCCAAAGCTTCTGCAGGATCCAAAGCTCTCTCATGGCATGAGCAGCACACAAGTACCGCTTTTCATGTCACATGTTCTAAGCAGGGGTGCTCTTACAAATTACTCTTTGAAAACAAAGCTGTCATTTCAGACCTCTATACCAAAAGGCTGTTTCTTCCTCAGCGGCCTCCTAGGTGGTGAGGGAAATAGAAAATGAGAGAAAGGGAGAGGAAGAAGCACATAGTAGGGACAGGAGGAGAGAGAGAATGAGAGAAGCATCACTGGCTTTTGGCTCTGGTCCCACCTACAATCAGCACTGAATCTCTGAGTCATCTGTCCCTATTGGAATGCGGCCTTTGACAGAAAAAATGCTGCCCATCCCTGCAATAAAAATGTGAAAGGGATATTGGGACATCAAGGCTTTGCCACAAGCCTCACCTTACTGAGAGATCTGACAGACACACAGTCAGTGTGACATCTGCAAAAGGTTAAAAAGGTTACGTACAACAGTCCATAAGAAGGCATATCCCACAACTGGGACCTGCTACTGAACAATAATCCAATGCACATCAAGCAGCTGCATCCAGAGAAGCCATATGGACTCCTCTGCAGACGCTACACTGAACATGTATCCATTAATGAAGCAGGGTATGTCACGAGGTCCTGTTTTCCCATTTTCTGCAAGACTTCTGTAAATACTTGCATGACTGAAAGATCATCACACAAGAAATGACCAGGGGTGGGACTGAATCCCAAACTTGAGGGGGAGGCTTAGACAGATGAACAGACTTCCTGACCTGATGGGATATTCAGTGACAACATCCATGGTAAGACTGAGCCAATACTTTTTACAAGCTTAAAAGAAAAAGGTCTGGCTTTGCCAACAGAAGCAGGGGACATTCCTTGGCATGTGATAGCTGATGGCAGCCTTCTTCAGCCTGTTGCTCTCTAGATGTGTTGCACTGCAGGTCCTGGATTCCCTTAACCAGCAGAGAAGGCAGCTCCCTGATCTATGGACTGTGCATAGGGCTGGCTTAGCAACCCTAGTCTCCAGCTTATCTGAAGACTGCACTTTTTAGAGCTGTGTGAAACCAGAGGAATAATTCTACAGAAAATCTATACCCTAAGCTCTAAAATTAAGATCAACCATAATTTTTTACTGTTGAAGAGAACTGGCTTGAGTCTTAGGAGATATAGTAAGATTTATCATCTGGCAAGAGAAACAGTTTGGCTTTTCGGGGGCGGGGGTGAGTAAAAATAAGTCATTTCTTGTCTGTCACCTCAGACATATCAACAACTACCCCTGCCTTTACCAACACTGGCACCTCCAAATGTGCTGAACTGCAACTCTCATGAGTCCTACCCAGCAGACTAAAATTTCTGCCAGGGCACCAAGTTCAGTGAAGGCTACTTTAACATTGGCATGAACATGCCAAACATCCGCAAATAAGATTTTATTGGCAAGACTTTGAAGACCAACCCACACTGAGGTGAAAAACAACCAAACCAAACCAAACGGTAAGATTCTAGACACTTCAGCTGACACTGATTTAAGCTTCTGAGTTCTCAGAGTTTGAGGCTACAGGTTTAGAAGACCGTGATGCTTTAGAAAAGCAGTTGGGTGCTTGTTCTTGAATTTCCCATGTTTCAAAGCAAGACAATATTGGTGGCTTTGTGAGAAATGAATATGATTGCTTCCACGCCAGCTGCTTTTTAAAAGGCTGTCCTAGAATCAGCTGCTGCCTTTTCATAGTGCTGGGAATCCCTGTTCAGACAGCATTTAGGAAAGGAATTCTCTGAAGCCAGTTTTATCACTTGGTCTTCCCAATACCTGGAACCATTCCATTAAAATCATATCACATGGTAGCAATAGGAGATTGTAATTTCCACTTTTTATCTTCTCACCTTTTCACTGCTTTGTGTGCCAACATTCTGTTGCCTGCTAGGAAGGTGATACTGCCAAGGATAGCCAGGTACTTCATGGTTTGAAACATGTTGAGTTGAGTCCAGTAGACATACATGAGCCCCAACATTGCTATTTAAAAAAGAGAGAGATACCCAGTTATACCTGGCTAGCATGAGTACAAAAAGGAAGATCATATAAGCAATCATAGTGATGGGTAGGGTAGAATCAATGCACAATCATTCATTCCAGTATACAGGGCAGTGGAAACAGAGACAACAGTAAACCTATAAACTGAGGAAAGATTGTAAAACTACTCTAAATGTATAATCATTTACAGTGAAAAGAAACCATAGGAGTATAAGTACATGTTGGATCCACAAAGACAGTAGAAACAGTGTCTTTCTTGTGAACTAGACCTTCAAATGAAAGATCAGAGTAATTTCTTTTATGTCTGTGCAGTACTGTTGACCAGCTAGCCACTTAGAAAAATAACAGGAGATAAAAGAAAACACTACTGTATTGGCAATTATAAGTGAATAAACATCCTTCACACTTCACAGATACTAGTGAAAAATCCCTACAATTCTCAGGTTATATATATCCCTACATGCAAAACTCAGACTGCCAAACTTTGAAGAGAACATACTCCAATTTATGGTTAGTCACATTTATTATTTCTTAAGTCAACAGAATAAGAAGATTAAACTTTCACATCAATTTGAATGGAACCAAAGTGCAACTAAGTATATTAATACACTGTAGATGAATGAACTCTGTATTTGTTCTGAAGTTTGCCTGGCTTATGAAAGGTTCATGCAACTTTTAACCAACTGAATTAGCAAGGTAAAGGGCCTTAAAAACAAACAAAGGTGATTCACTTTCTTAACAAACAGTATACTGCTCTTCCATTTCCCCAGGAAAATATGAGGCTCTCAAGAAGATTAAAGGTAACAGAATTTCAAGAAGTACAAAGAAAAAACTGATTTTTTTCAGGACAGTATGGTTTTGTGTGCACTGAAAAACAATTTAGCAGTGTAAAGGAAAAACAACACAAGAAAGACTAAGGAAGTGTGAAGAGGCAATAGCTGTGTTTAACCAAATTCACAACAACACAAATTGGCGGCAGACACATCTAGGTACTGAACAAGCCACATTAAAAGGATTTCATGTAATGTCTCTAAGTGCATTAAATAAAGGGATACAAGAACAGGATCCCACAGGCTCCTCTTTCATTAGATGTGCAGTATGTACTAAAGGATAAACCACAGAAATGGAAACACTGAACATTCTGTCCTATCAAATGTAGCTAAATGGAAGCAAGAGAAAACCAGTCTAATGACAGCTGTTACAACTGATGGAGTATGTGTGTCTATCAGCATAAGAATAATTCTGAAAAATGGAAAGGGGGGGACAAAAGGGAGGAATGTGGTGCTATTATACCTATTATAGTTAATAGGTTGTGAGCTTGTCTGTCATCAGGCTCTTGCCTATGTGAAATATGGATAAATGAGGAGGAATCTCTCTGGCACTTACCTGCATGACCGAGATGGAAGATAATAGTACTGGGAGCAAAGCTGAAGTTAGAAATATTGGCCCCGATCTTCATCCACTGAAAAAATAGGAAACATATACTAAGCAAAAAAGCTACAGCACAATGAAACCAAGATCAAAAAGCAACATTTCAAATTACAGAGAAGTGTTAATTAAAATGCTTCAGACATTGTGCATGCATGCATTTATGTAGATCAGAAGCATTATCAGGACATTACAAATTAATTCCATTCAAAATAATTGCTTAATATGTGTAAATCAGCTTTGGAAAATCTAATTTGCCATCATCTAAAATGGAGTATTTTTACATAGATGCAGAAATTCAGGAGGAACGAGAGAGGGAATTAGATAAGAACTAGGTCTATAGTGATTTTATTGTGCAGTGATACTGCTTCTTGGAAATCTGACTATGAAGTACATGTGTGGGTCAGTCTATACTAGTAATTAACACCTGTTCAGCTCTTAACATTACAATATCTCAATATTAGCACTCAAACAACGTTATGTATTGGTTCAGATATGAGACACTTACCAAAATAAAGAGCAAAACCAGTGGCGAGAGTACCAAGCCTGTGAATGCATTTGATACTACCGTGGGAGGTCTCTTCTCAGGTTCCCTGAATAGGTGCTATAAAAAAAAGATGTTCAGGGAGAAATGAATCAGAAAAGCAACTCATTTCAACAGTCTGGGTGTACTGCAAGGTATTTTTGTAAGTACCATTTTCTTTTATCTGTTTCTATAACAGGAGTGGGGAACCAATGGACATGGGCTGGACAAGGCTTGCCCTCACAGCTCTCTAAGGGGCCAATGACCCCAATGGCTGTAACTGTTGACATCATGGGGGCCCTGGTCAAAGTGCTGGGTGGACCTTTTCTCTGTAGGGAAAAGGAAGGAAGAGGAGCAAAGCACCCTCAGATAGCTCTGGCATTATTCCGATCTGGGAGACAAATGGCATTCCAACTTTGTTCCTCCTCCTGTGTTCCTAAACTATATGTTAGCATAATTTAACATTGCTGAACTAATAAGTAACTACAGTCTGCCAAGACATGTAAGGTTTTTTAAAACAGATATTGGTATCACTAGGGAACTTGCTTCCAAAAGAAGAATCACAACAAAAAGATCCACTAGGGAAAGACAGCCAACTTATTTCAACGGTACCTTTATCTCTGGCTTGGGAATGAAAAGGCTTTTTGACTGTACTGTGGATGGAGCATCCTCTTCTGGAAATTTGATGACAACATCTGCCTGAAAAGAATATTAAAAGTAAGTGGACCTGCTCTATGTAGATTACTCACACCTAGTTCAGTACAGATTATAAAATGCTGAAATAGTCCTATTAGAAGGAACATTCTTCTAAACTCTAAATTGATTTCAGAACTTTTCTATAAATAACGGAGGATCACCTATCTGTTTACTGAACTTAGTTAATTAGCAAACAATATTACTTAAAGCAACATAAATGAGGTGTTTCCTTGCTGCTAAAAGGCAGTATGTACAACTGATAAATAACTCCAAGGTGAGATGCCTGCATCAAGGGTAGATGGAGAATTCAAAAGGATACAGATTTATGACTAGTTCTTTTTCTTCCAAGCTGAAAAGTCATTCTGCCCGCATGAAATATATAACGTTCTACCATGTTATAGCCTCTCAACAGAATTCAGCTTGTCTACTGGAACTTGGTAGACTTAATTTCATCATGAGGATTTTTACTGGACTATACATTTCTTTACAGTTCAGAATGCTGCAGCACCACTGTTATCCAAAAGATATCATACAGATAACAAAAGTGGCTGTAAGGTTGTCACGGTTTGAATTTTATACATATACAGTGGAAAAATAATTAAGCTGGGGTATTTAAAAAAAACAAACCCTGAAAATAGTAGTGCCTTTAAGGTGAGGCTTGAATAGCAGCTTACTAAAGTTGTTCCAAAACAACTAGCTAGCTTTCCTGCCCAGCAAGGTCACAGAGCAAAAACAGTTCCTGACAGCTGAACTGTTCATGTTACAATACCTAAATACAAAGTGGTATCTGTAAGTCCTATAGCGCACTCTTTCAGTGATTAGAGTATTTTGTGTTGACAATGGTCTAGTGTTCCAGGATTTTGGAATGACAATATTCTAGTGATCTAGAAGCTTGGTATTATAAGCTCTTGGTGTTACAATGGTTTTATGTTACAGAGTATTATTCCTCTAAGGTCTGCAAAATGTTAGTCAAAACCATTACATAGTGGCAGTCTGTTAGACTTCAGGTTACAGATTTCTGGAGTTACAAGGGTCACAGGACCAATAAAATTTCCTATTGAAAAAATTATTCTTGCTGCTCACAAACACTAAATCCCCAGGCCCCGGGATAAACAAATTGTTTACAAAGTGAGGAGAGATGTGAAACACTGAAACAATTATAAATATAGGGAGATAAGACACACACAGGAATTCATCACATCATTGCAACTCCATACCACTTCGGACACCAGACATCAAAGAGCAACTACTGTGTAGCAGCACAGCAACTTCATTTCCAAAAGCTAGCAACACAACCATCATGGATTTTCCTTCATAGCTACAAATTGGCACAAGGCTAGCTTGGCTGGGTGAGCACTTAAATAGTAATTTTTCTGTGTATTTTTTAATATGCTTAAAGGCTAAGAATTTTTTTCCTTTATAAACTTTTATTTTTTAACAATTTTGATTTTTTATTAGATGTATTCTTTAGTTTTTGTTTTTCAATGTGCATTCTTAGGTTATAAGCTCTCACGTTTTTGGAATGTAATGGAAACATTCTCATTTTTCTTTTTTATCCTTAAAATGTATACTTTACTGGATTGAATTCTGACTTAAGTATTTGCTTGCCTTAAGTTTAGTTTTCACATATTCTTAAGCATTTGTGCTTACAGTTTTCTTCATACATAATTGTAAGACCTCTCTATTTTTACAACAACTTTGAAGTATTTTGTGCTTAGAACATAAGAAGAGTGCTGCTGGATCAGGCCAAGGGCCCATCTAGTCCAGTTTCCTGTATCTCACAGTGGCCTCACCAGATGCCTCTGAGAGCATATGAGACAACTAGATACCTATCTCATGATATCTCTCCCCTGCATCTCGTATTTGGAGGTACCTTCTTTTTAAGCCTGGAGATTATACATCCCCATCATGGCTTGTAAGCTGCAATGGACTTTTCCTCCAGAAATCTGTCCAACCCTCTTTTAAAGGTATCTAGGCGAGATGCTATTACCACATCCTGTGGGAAGGAATTCCAGACTAACAACACGCTGGGTAAAAAAGTGTTTTGTCTGTTCTCACTCTCCCAACATTCAATGTCAGTGGATGTCCTTTGGTTCTGGTATTGTGTGAGAGGGAAGAGAACTTCCCTCTATCCACTTTATCCATCCCCTGCATAATTTTATACGTCTCAATCATATTCCCCCCTCAGGTGCTTTTTCTCTAAACTAAAGAGCCCCAAATGCTATAGCCTTTTCTCATAAGAGAGGTGCCCCAGCCCAGTCATCATTTTAGTCACTCTCTTCTGTGCCTTTTCCAGTTCCACTATGTCTTTTTTGAGGTGCAGCGACCAGAACTGTACACAATACTCCAGGTGCAGCCTTACCAGTGTTTTGTACAATGGCATTATAATGTTCTATGTTTTATTTTCAAGCTCCTTTTTAATGATATCTAGCACTGAATTCGCCTTCTTCACTGCTACCACAAACTGGGCGTCACTCTCTTCTGTGCCTTTTCCAGTTCCACTATGTCTTTTTTGAGGTGCAGCGACCAGAACTGTACACAATACTCCAGGTGCAGCCTTACCAGTGTTTTGTACAATGGCATTATAATGTTCTATGTTTTATTTTCAAGCTCCTTTTTAATGATATCTAGCACTGAATTCGCCTTCTTCACTGTTACTACAAACTGGGCTGACACTTTCATCGAACTGTCCACCAGCACACGGAGATCTCTTTCCTGATCCATCACGGATAGCGCAGAACCCGTTAGCTGATAACTAAAGTTTTGATTTTTTTGTCCCAATGTGCATTATTTTACATTTTCTTATATTGAAATGCATTTGCCATCTTGCTGCCTATTCTCCCAGTTTGGAGAAATTCTTCTGGAGCTCTTCACAATCCCTTCTGGTCTTCGCCACCCGGAAGTTTCTTGCTTATAGAATATAGAAGCAATATAAAGAAATAAAGCTAGTAGAATTAGAAAAGCTGATTTTGCCTAGAATCATTGCAACAGTGAAAAGTATCAAGGACCTTGATACTCACGGTATCAGATACTCAGATGAATTTTGATTTGACTGACAATTTTTTTGGTTTCATTCTCGAGTCAGCAGTTTTTTAGGGGGAGACAATGCTAGCTGTGATGAACATAAATTTTTGATTTTTCCCTGGAGGTACATAGAGTTTGTAGGACTCATGGGGAAAGGGGTTTAAGGCATCAGTTTATCTAATCTGACAAGATATTTATTAAAAATACCTAAACATAAGCACAGTTACCCCTTAAAATCCCTTTTACATCAAAACGAATTCAAGCACATTTTTGTTTTAAAGAGCAGATTCTTTGCACACAAGCACCTGGAAGTTTAGATCACAACAACTGTAACTTCCTGTAACAACTGTGAGCATAGACTCATTATTTACTTCAGGGGACATACAGAGACCTGATAGCAAAGAGACCTAATGTTACATTGTTATACTTTTTGTGGGGCACTAAGGTCACACATTCTAGTAAAGAGGTTCTAAAATCATCCTTTTGCAACCTGGTGATGCCCATGCTTGCTGGGTTGATGGAAGCTGTAATCAATATATGCGGGGAATGCTATGTTGGAAAAGGTTGACCTCTGAAGCCTTTTCCTTGGGTAAGATAAGAAAAATGCATGTCAATCCATTTTACTTGAATTGGAGGCAAATCATATTTGAAGTTTCAAGACTGGAGTAGTCAAGTAAGTCCCCAATCACAGTCAATATTTCACTCTAAATAACACCAACACAAATGGCAAGGTATTGTGTAAACAGAAGAGCGTACCACATTCCAGAGGATTGGGTTTTCCAGGGTAGCGTCTCCAATTATCAGGTAAAGAGTGTAAGTCCCAGAGGCTGAATCAAACTCTGTCTTTCTTTCAGAAGTGTCCAGTTCAAACTTGTAGATATTTTTGCTATCTGGTTCTGCAACAAACACCACTTCCTGTCCAGTCTTCTGATTGTGAAGCCGTACAAAAGTCTGAAGGAAGAGACGATCAAACCTATCTTAGCATCTGCACTCACATCATTGCCAGACTTTTAGTACTATTGTTATTTCAGAAGAAATAAAGGAAACAATGGCTGAAATTCTTTTGCTTTGCACAGCAAGTTGTACTAGAACAGGCCTACTGAATCAGTGGGGATTTGGTGAGTCAATTCCTCCATAGCTTCCACTGACTCAAAAGGTACCTACTCAAATTGCAACTAGAGCGGGTCAGTATGCCACTGGCAGTGGTGACTGGTGGTAGTAGTGTTTCAAGGCCCAACTTTACCAAACGCCGGAATGAACTGACTTGTTAAAAATGATCTTTGGAGTGGATTTACTTGTTATAAAGCATCTTTGTCAGGATGAATAAAAATGAGGGTTTTTAAAATTGTTTTTTAAAATCTAAATCATTATATAGTCAATTTTATCATTCATGATTCTGTTTGAGTTGTGTCAAGTTTTTAAAAGTTAGCTCTAACAAGTCAAGAGAGAACTGCTTCCCCTACTTCAAAATAATCTGGGTAAGTGGCCCATTTGTTTCCAATACTGCTACCACCATTCAATATAGGACAAAGCATTCTAAGTAGTTTTTAAAGGTTCAGAAATACTTGTTCTAAACAGTTCCTTTACCAAAGATGCATCTATGGATAGCAACCAAAGGACAAGACAATGTTGCAAACTGCCCAACCTGGTGAGGAATGAGTTCTGCTCCAGTGTTCATATCAATCAGCTGGAAGGACAATGCAAAGTTTTGATGACTGTCAGCAGTGAATGATCCTTTGGCTTTGGCAGGGTAAGTGACCCTGAAGGGAAAGAAAAGAGTGAACAGCTGTTTAGAACTATTCTATTTCTATCAGACATCAGGCTAGTTTCCCCCAGTCACACACATTGCTCGCTTTTTTGCAAAACCTGGAAAAGTTACTGGCCATGCTGGCTAGGGGCTAGAGAGGGGCATGAATTAAAAACAAATCACCAAATTCATTAAAAAACTACACATTCATATTCATACAAATCAATGCCCCCAATGAATATGAATCAATGAATTTTTAGCAATTTCTGTCAATTCAATGGGCTATAAAATGTCCCCCGGCAGCTGAAGACACCAAAAATACAGAGAAGCTTCCCTTAACTCTCCTGTACAATCCCTCCAAGTTTGGTGAAGATTGGGTTTCCACATACATTTGTTATTCATCGAACTTGATGAATCATGAATCAAAATGAGTCACCTTTTTCTGATTTGTGCCCATCTCTACTGGAGGCTTTTGGAACTTGCAATCCTAAACAGTAATGTTTCCAAGTTCTACTTCTTACTGCCAGCATAATGAGAACTGAACAATCCTGTAAAGTCTCAGGCCAAAGTACTATTCGCTTCACAGAGAGACAGAACCTAGAGAAAAGCTGTGTGCTTTGGGTAGTTTTCCTTCCCTTCTGAAACCAGCTGTGAAGAAACTGATTATAAGGCAGGGAGGGATGGAGAGAAATCTGAATACACCAATGAAATATCATCTTTTGCCAGAATAATCTGGTTTACCTGTCGGCTACACAAAACCAATATTTCATGGCCAAGGAAGCTAGACAGGGTTTAATTTGAAGGAGAGTTTATCAGAACTCAGCCTTATTAAAAAAAGCTGCAATGCGTGTAAAGTACAGGTGGGGAAACCATCTGTGTGGAGGCACTGGGCTACTTTGTGTGCTTAGGATATGCAGCAACCAAAAAAGGAAGGATGGTGGAAGCAAAAGTGAAGGGCAGAATTTGTGTCCCTTCAGCAGACCTGAAAATGTTTCTTGCCAGTTTGGCTTGGACACCAGTAACAACCTAGTGCTGAGCTCACTGCTTTAATATTATTATCTTCTAACCAGGCACATCTACCATAAATGTAGACCACAACTCGTGTAGATAGCTAAAAAGTCTGCTGGTACTCTTTCTTCCTTCTGTAAGAGTTTGGAATAATGGTATTGTTACTTATCATTGTGTGAGGACCACTGATATCTTACCTGGTAGTTTTGGGTGCAATGCTCTGATCTTTATCCACAGTAAAGAGATCTACATTTGTAATGCCAACTTCTGTGGAGACTTTTACTTTCATCTGCAAACAAAAAACAAATCAATAGACTAAGTGATCTGCAAGTGGCTGGGTGCTGGATTCTAACATTTTTGTCCATCCCATCAAATATGTCGTGGTAATGTTTCCATCACCTCCCATGCCCCTTTATATTTACACCAACATTATGCAAAATAGGTTAGGTTTCGACCTGTGAGTTTAGGTTACAGTAAACCCATACAGTCAAAATTACCTAGCAAGATCTATTAAGATTTTGGAGTTGAATTTGCCTGGTCTAAACCTATCTCTCCTATGAGGTAGTTGTACTTGTAATGTGATCAAGGTTATATAAAATAAGATTTTTAATTAAGATTGTTGGCAGGAATTACCAACTCATTTTCATTACTTCCCTGCATAGTTACGAGATCTAGAAACATTTTCACTTTCTTAAAAGAAAAATAAAATAGACCTGATCATCAAATGCAAATATAGCATTCTAAAACCTTAGTCAAAACAAAGATAATCTACACTAGTAAAGGGACAGAAGAAAAGTGTATGGACAATTCAAATTATAGCATATTCACATCAAAGACTATGAGTTCAAATATTTGGTAGCCATTATTTTATGACTTCTTCAAACACCACTATAAGACTTTTGCACTGTTGCTGTTTTTTAGTCTTATGAGTCTAGCTAAATTTCAAGTTTTGCAACTCAAAATGTTTCCTTTATACTTTAGTATGGGAATTAGGTACAGCCCCTTTTGTCTTCGTAAACATAAACATAAAAACCAAGAAATTTTATGAATTAACAGAGAGTTATGTCTGATGTGCTAAGCCTGCCAAATCAGTTTTGTAGACTTGCCTTTCTTTTTTAGTGATTGCATTATTAGTAAAATCTTTCAGAATTAATAACATGGAAGGATAGTAGGATATACAGTTAGTGGATTGTACTCAGAGATCCTATGTTTGTTTTGATGCCATGCATTTCCATACTTGACTGAAAATGTACAACTTGTATGAGGGTGAAGTTTTTGAACCACTTAAGTTGAAATCTTCCTTTGTCCTGTTGAGGCCGAAATACAGCCCTTTCCTTACAGTTCAATTCTGGCAATACTCACTGTTAATCTGTACTGTCTATTCTCTCTCACACAGTTCATTCATACACACTGATCTCAGACAATGCAGTCTTTTCCCTCAGCATGCTAACTTCAAGGTTGGATTGTAAATGTCAACAATTCTGATGCACTAAGCAGAATTAACTCTAATGACAGCCTCTTAAAAGCAGTTCCCCTGACAGCTTTCCCCAGTTACAGTGTGGCTAATTATTAGGCACAATCATACAAAGCCATCAACATTAATGCAGGGCCACTAGCACTCGCTTATGCTTCCAGAGTGTTTAAGCAGTACCATCAATCCCTTCCTGACGCTTCAAGGGAGACAAATTACTCCAATTACCACATTGATTTTGATATGTATGGCAGAGGTTGGCACTTGTAAACAAGTGCCTCATTCTAGCTGCTCCACACTGAGTGAGCAGTAAGACTTAAATGCTAATTTTTCAATTAAGTAGGTATAAGTGAGGACAAAAAAGGAAACCTGCAGAGTAAACAATGCTTGAAAATGCACATACCCCAACTGCTTCATCAACAGTTGCCATAACCATGTTGATTTTTAAAAAGGAAAAATGGAGAAAGTGAAAAGTAACAGGAATTATGTCTTATCTATAAGAATTCACATTTGGGCAATAATTTTATTGGGCCCTACTAAAATGTCACAAAACAGGGATGAAGCTACAGGCTGCAACTTCTGCTTCTTACTGGCCCTACTCAGAGGAGCTATTTTAATGGCCAACATCTTATTTCATACTTATGCTGGCATAAGGAAAAATGACAATCTGATGCAGCTAATTACTGCACATTAACAAACCCTCACTTGAGTTCCTGGTCATACCCCAAACCACCCAACTGATGTCAATGAGGAAGCCAAGTGGGGATTAATTAATTAAGAACAAATAACCACTGCGAGAGTTCAGCCACTTTTTTTCTACCAGCATAACTACAGACCAGGATTTAATATTTAAATTTTGGGGAAGTTTGGAGGGGCTGGATGAGACCCTCAAGGGTAGCATGCTGCCCTCAGACTACATGTGCCTATCTCTGTTTTAAGGTAAGCTAGCAACTAACAACAAACTTATGGATGCACTACTTGCAGGTTGACATAGGAAGTGAGTATCTTATGTAATAGTAATTAATAAAATAATAAACAGAAAGGTATTCAAAACATTACATGAACAATACACTATTAGATGCTGTAAACTGCTACATGAAATTGTATATAGACACATTTTAATCAATAGACTCGCACCAATGTTCAAGAAATCTATAAAGCAGTATCAGGGAAAACTTTGTTAACATAAATTATTTAAATAGAGATTTTCTCTTGATAATCTACATCATTATTGATAATCTACATCATTATTGAAATATTATTTTGTTGATTGAATAATTGCCCTTCTCCTATGTGGCAGGACACAAGACACCTCACATATCATTAAAACAAACAAAAATGTAGATCTGTCCACGCTGCTTATGACCTATTTTAATGTCCCTTTGGCAATAAACAAAGGCCTATTGGTTGTTCGGGCTTCTAAACCAAGACAGAAATACTTTACGTTTATTGTAACAGTGCAGAATTCAATCACTGTCTTATGTGTGTATACATCACGGTGGAAAATTACTGCTAAGTAATGAGGTGTTAGTTGCATTCCTAGGTATGTGACCGATTGCACAAGCACCCATGAATGCAACCAGGATTTTGTTAATTAGTACCTATTTACTACCATGACTTAGCACCATTTCAGATACAGAAATACAAACTGATGACTGGATGGTAGCCAGCATTTAACATTTCAAATTTGTGTACTATCGTGAAAACATTTTCACAAGGAAGGAAAGAGCTTAACGGGTACATACAAACATTTTTTCCAGAAATCACAAACCAAAGTAACTTCAATCAACAACTACAGCAGAGATGCAAAATGCCTGCAAACACACCTACCTCAACTTTGTTTGCGATAAATCGGCTATCTCCATCAATGCTGATCACAAAATCATAATAACCACTGGCAGGCTTGACATTCATGAAATTCAGCTCAAAGACATCTCTGTTAACAGAAGCATGGTTGTAATAGCTGTAAAATTGTATGAATTTAAATGCCCATGTTCCCAAATAATTATATATATTTAAAAAATCAGTATATATAAATTCTGGCCAATTTCCCCCAAGCAGCAAGGCAATACAAAGTGTGGTACCAGTTACACAGGGAAAATAAGTGCAGGAATTAAAAAACCATGGGGGGAAAAAGCCAGATGTAACAATTAATTAAAAAGTTTGGCAAGGTTTCATATATTTTCAATTAATCCTTGTCCTTTCAAATGCTTGCCAAAGTCTCCCAAATTCTAGGTTCAGAATGAAGTCTCTCTTTTAAATATTCCCAAACAAATATACAAAACAACAACAACAACAAAAACATTAACAATGATATTTTCCTTACCCTGAGACAGCAAAGGCGGACTGCTGAAGGACTGTGGCTTTAGTAGCCACAGATTTAGCATGATCCAAATTCACACTTGCCTGAGCCAGAGGTTGTGACATAACATTTGTAACCTGGAGCTAAGGAATGAGAAAGATTGAGGTATTGGTAGCACCAGCAGGAGGGAGTTAAAAACTAGATTGTAAACTCTAGAAAAAGGCAATGGTGACAAATCCCACAGGTGGAAAGTATTTTAATATTGTTAAGGAATTACAAAATCCAAAATATATTTTCCATATGCTTTTAATCTGTTCACTGAAGGAATGAGATTCATCTTCTCACATGGCTTTACACCACTCTATTGTCTCAACTTTTCCCTGTCACTATCCCGCATAGCTCAGCTCCTTATCATTTAGCTTTTCTTCCTCTCTCATAAAACTAACCTCCTGCAACAGAATTTACTTTTGAGCATTCACTAGAACAAGCAATACCTTTCAAGAAGCCACTACTAACTCCTGTTAAAAATCAAGGGATGAAAGACCTTGTTTTTTATATACTGGGCAGGCTTGGTAGTGGTGAGATACAGGTATGAGATTATACACAGCTTCAACTCCCAACATAGAAAATATGAGAAGGACCAGTGTAAATGTCCAGCATGGTGAGCCATTTACTAAGAGTCATGGGTTCAGTAGGGCACAGAAGGGCTGATGGATTAGCTGCTCCTCTCAGGCTATGGAGACTAACCCCTCTGCAGGATTGTTATAAATGCCAGGTCCCACCATCAGCTCCCAAGGAGGCAGTGATCACTAGAAACAATGGGAGCTGTAGTCCAACATATCCAGGCAGCACTACAGCAACATATTCTAACACCTAGAGAGCACCAGAGATGGGAAGACTGCTTCTTAATCAAGCTTGGTTTAAACAGTGGTGCCTCGCATTACGTTAATTCGTTCCAGCAAAATCGCTGTACAATGAAAACGTTTAATGCGTTCCAATGGGCTAAAAACTCACCTTCCAGCGAAGATCCTCCATAGGGCAGCCATTTTCGGTGCTGTCTTGCGAGAAATCCGTCCCAGAAAACAGTGGGGAGCCATTTTATTTACCCGGCGGCCATTTTGAAACCGCCAATCAGCTGTAGGAAAATTGTCGTTTTGCGAAGAATCGGTTCCTGAAGCAGGGAACCGATCATCGCAAAGTGAAAAGCCTATTGAGACCATTGTTTTGCGATCGCAAAAACGATCGCAAAAATGTCGTCATAATGTGGGTTCGTCATAATGCGGGGCAATCATAAAGCGAGGCACCACTGTATCTATTTTAATCAGCCTTTGGGGAACTAAGCATCACAGCAGCAAAACAGATCCCAAAGGCAGGAACTCACCCTGAGAACAGGCTGGTGATGAGAGACAGCAGCAGGCCCCTCAGAGACTGCAATAACTGGCAAATGGTAATTATTCTGCGAAAGGGCAGCTGCCGCACATGCCACACTGAATGCTTCAGAAAGAATCTCAAAGTTTTTTTTGCTGAAAATTGCATTCACCAGCTGGATGATCTGATCCTAGAAGGAAAGAAAAAAAGTGAAAGAACAAAACTCCAGCAAGTCAGTTCGGAGCAGAAGGACACCTCTTTTATCCATAAAGGCAAAGAGAGAGGTTAGCCTCTACATTCAGGAGGAAAAGCTGTTATCGCACACCAGAGCAACAGAAAAATTTAAAGTATAGGCCCTACTACTTGGAAGCTGAACGACACAAGGCCTTGCAGGGTAAAGAAAGCAGTGATGCTGTACTGAATTATGAAGTACAAGCACTTGTTATGACATTATCAAAACTAAGGAGAACTGAAAAATCCTGATGACTATACTGATCCATGTCATAGCAATTCTAGCAGAGTTAATCTCTTGTGTAAAGCTAAGGGACCCCACTGCCACATATGTTACCCTAAAATATTCTACAAAACAGATTAGCCAACACTAGATTGTTGCTAGGAAAATTCATTTCCCTCTCATCTGTTGTGAGGATCGCATCTAAGTCTGGAGAGGACAGGGAAGCAGGAGAGGACAAGGGTGACAGATGATATTATCACTGCCAATGAAAACATCTCAGTAGTTCAAGACTCTGATCCTAGCTCCATTATACTATGATGGGGCAGGGAAAGGCAGGAAAGAATAGATATTAAGGAAGTATAGGTTTCAAGAATGGAGTAAGGCTTTAATGGTTCATTAAAAAAAACTGTAGCTAAGCATCCCTTAGAACTGTAGAGCTGGAAGGGACCCTATGGATTATCAAGTCCAGCTCCTGCCAAGGAGGTACAATGGGGAATCAAAATCCCAATATCTGGCTTTGCAGCTAAAGATCTAAACCAGTGGTTCTTAACCTTTGTTACTCGGATGCTTTTGAACTGCAACTCCCAGAAACCCCAGTCAGGACAGCTGGTGGTGAAGGCTTCTGGGAGTTGCAGTCCAAAACTCCTGAGTAACCCAAGGTTAAGAACCAGTGATCTAAACCACTGAGCTATCCTTTTTTTGGAACCATTGAGATACCTTTTATTTGGCCCAGAAAGAAAGAAAACTCATCACTATCATCTGTTTCACAAATAAAGTGAAAGTTCTGCACTCAACAAAGAGGTCGGATCCTACCTCAGTCTCCAAAGCTGGTTTGAGATACAATCACTTGTTCTTTGTATAGTGCCCTCTCTATTTGTGTAGTGTTACACAAATAAATAAAAATAACTAGAAATGTAAAATTTATTTAGAAGAGATAGTGTCAGTTACTTAAAAAGTGACTAAAATAATCACAATTCCTCATTTTAACATAGGAAAGGAAGTAATATGTATGTATTCCCATACACTATTAATATTCCACACTGAACAATTATCTTCAATTGGATCAATTCTGGAGTTGTTTTTCCTCTATTAGGTGATGCCTGACAATCCGTGGTATGTTACTTTATATCCACTCTGAACAGCAATGGCATAAGAAGCATTCCTGCACCACATGTGTTCTTCAACAATACTCTTTAAAGGGTGCATGTGTCAGTTATCTCCTTCATAACCCGGGGTCTTTCCAGTCCATTAACATTTCAACTGCTAATTAGGGACATTAGGCATTAATTATATTTTCAGTTCCAAGAAATACAATTAGTAATTATGTTTTTAACCTACAGGGGGGAAATTAAGCAAGTTCTGATGGATGACACATACAAGTTCTATAAATAATGCCAGTCTATTTTCATTTTACCAGGTCACCAAATGTTTCATCCCCATTTAAATCTAAATTTTACCTAAAACTCATTATTATCTTTCATTTTGAAGTCATTACCTTACAGGTTATTATGACTTACCCATTCATATATGACATTTTTAACAACCTCAGCCAGTTTGAATTTGTGCACTTAGAATAACTCTGAGTGGTTTTTAGACCTTCCTCCCTTTCTGGCTGTCCTTCCTGTTAACCCATTATCACTGGGATGGTTAAAATCACTGATCATTGGGATCATTAACTGCTATACTCTCCTCATACACATGTACACATGCACTTTTAAGCTTCTCACATGCACCAAAAAAAGCTTACAGCACATGCACAGAAGACTACTCCCTATTCCCTTTGGAAAGATCTGTTATTTCTGCATGTAGTTTCTTCTTCTTGTCTGTCTACATGCACAGGGGTGAGAAATTGCCATAAAACAGGGATTGTTGCAATCACCTGAACCTGTCAGCTTTAGAAGTTCAGCATTTAGACCCAAGTGTAATGGGTGCACAATCTACATGAGCATGCATCAGCCTTGCACCGAGAATTCCATAGGGAACCCTCTATTTTCCTTCCTCCAACTGTGTCCATGAATGGAGCATAAGTACTTTCGATTCAGCAAAGAAAGTGTGGGAAATGGAAAAGTGCATATGTTTTGTGCATATGAATGGGCAAAAGGAGGCTGCAGGGTGGAGAAAGAGAAGGCAAACATTTTTCAGCTGGGTGTTCCATATCTGGCAGCTGCATCCATGATGCAGGTGGACTCTGCTTACAGGAAATAAATATTAATAAGGGCTCTTCATTGAATTCATTGAAGGATGCAACAATTACTTGCTATTAATTGTTATGGACATATACACTCACTAATATTAGAGGCAGCGTGCCGCTCTGTATTAGTTTCTGGGAAAGACGAGACATAGTATGCCTTTGTGCTCATGTCATGCTGATAGGCTTTCCATAAGAAACTGGTTAAGAGTGTGAACAGAAAAGTAGACTATATAGGCTTCTGGTATGATCAAGCAGGACTGTTATGTTACGTATGTTCCTTTTTCCTGTATTCCAATGAGCTTTTCATTAGCAGTACAGAAGACTGACAATCTTCATTCTTTCTAGACACTTATAGTAGAAGCCTGATTTGGTGTTAAGGTTTTACTACAT